GGTGGCTTAGTCGGTTAAGCGTCCGACTTTCGCTTAGGTCATGATCTCGCGGTTCGTGGGTTCGAGCCCCGCGTCAGGCTCTGTGCTGACTGCCACCTCAGAGCCTGGAGCCTGTTTCAGAGTCTGTGACTCCCTCTCTCTCTGACTCACCCCTGCTCACGCTGTCTCTCTCTCTCCTAGAAATAAATAAAAACATTAAAAAAAAAAGTGTCTATTCATGTCTTCTGCCCATCTCTTCACTGGATTGTTTTTTGGGTGTTGAGTTTGTTAAGTTCTTTATAGATTTTGGACTCCTTCCCCCTGATATTTAATAAGGATGAGAAACTATTGGACCCTTTCTCTGTCCCCAGAATCTGCTTTTTAAAAATGATGGGGAAAAGATTAAAAGAATCTTTTCCAGAAGAGCTCTAGAAGAAGAAATGGAAGTCTGAAAATTAATCTTTCAGTACCACAGACACTTCTGTGTGCAAGGGCTTACTGGGGTTTGTGGGAACAATGAGAGGCCAAAGGACCCTAGTGATGGCCACAGACTGGGGGTCATCAAGGGAAAATTAGACCACAGTTCATACACAAGAATAAGAACATGCTTCATTCTCTATATAAACGGGGAGGTGGGGGGAGCGGACAAAAGTTGTGGCCTGATCCAAGCTAGACCCTGGGTTGACCTGGTCACAGGAAGCTCTTGCTGCCCATGGTCCAAGAGACAGTGATGTCTGAGTCCCTGTGATCACAAGTCCTGGTGGGACAAGGTTCCACGGAAGGGACAAGGACAAGGGAGTAGCAAGGATGACTCAGCTGAGGAGTGATCATGTCAAAGCCCACAAAGCACTGACCACTGTCCGGGCACAGTTCCATCCACACTTGGCTTCTCACAGCCTTATATCTGAACTACAACAGACTCAGCACAGCAATCACGCAGATTCTGAAAGATTCTCAGTGCTTTTATTTATTTCCTGTCTCAACTTTAGGAGTCTTCTCTTTTATTACCACATCGGTCCCATATGAGAAGAATAGAAAAAAAACCCATATCTAATAGAGATACGCGTAGCATGAAGTAAAGACAGGGATGGAGATGATTTAGTCCCACCTCTGCTGGAACAGGAAAGCAGATCAGGGAAGAGAAAACAGGTGAGTTTGGGGAGGGGTCATGATGGGTAGCAGTGGGACAATTTTCCCACCTCTTCACATTATGCTAATAGAAACACAGACACATTCAGACATTCTTAGCAGATAGAAATGTCCAGGGCTCTTGATATCAAAAAGATGGGAGTGTGAACAAATCTTGCATCACTCAGTCCTCCGTGAAGCAGCTGGCTCACACTGTGAAAGAAAATAATCATGAGCAAATTCAGGTCAATCATGTGTTTATATTTCAACAGCCCACCACTTGCTTATAAAGTCCCACTCAAAGAATCCTCATAACCCAGTCATGTCCCTTCTGCCCCAACCCCTCCCCACTTCAGGCCCTCCGGAGTCTCATCTTTAGGAGCTCTGAGAGACACACCAGAACTCTGGGCACTGTCACTGCCTGTAGAACAAACAGGATGTAGTCAGAATCCATAGGAGATTAAAGGTGGAGCTATGATGTGGGTTAGCTATCCCATGGGGTCCCATCTACACTACCCAAGGTCTCAAGGATCACTCCCTCCATACTTACTTTCTGCCTGTGAGTAGCATACTCCTTTTCCACTGTGGGAAGAAAACATCATGTCAGAGGCCAAGGAGAAGACTGGGCCGTGGTATCCAGAGGAATACCCTAGTCCCGTACTAAATCAGTTTCCAAAATTCTTACTGAGGAGTCACGGCTGTATTGGGAAACATGAAGAAAGGATATATAGGGGCACTGGACCAACTGTCTTTCTGGAAGTCTGTCTACATCAGGGAATTTCCCTTTACCTTCAACTGCTGGAGATCAGGTCCCCAACATCAGATATAAAGGTGAAAAATGTGTCCTTCATTTGCACAAGTCTACTAAAGAGTTAGTAATTGGCTACACAGTGAGCACGCACATTAACAAAGCAGAGCAAACTTCAGTCTGGGATTTGAAATCTCCCTGTGGGACGAGAAAACTCAGATTCCTCCCAACTACTTTCCCAGTCTGAGTGCTTCTTCCTCCACATCATAGCTCCAACTACCACAGCTACAGTGATCACAGGGAGAACCAAGCCAGCAATGATGCCCATGATGGAGATGGTGGGCTGAGGAGTCAGCTTATGGGAAGAGAAAGGAAGGTTAAGAGCCCAGACTTAAGGCTTGGGTCATTTCCTCGCTGATGTTCTGCAGAAGAGCTACTTTGAGAAGAGGCTGCATCCCAAACCTTATTCCATCTCAAGGTGATGGGCTTGGGCAGCTCCTTGTGCTGCACATGGCAAGTGTACCTCTGCGCCTCTCTAGAAGGTACCACCACAGCTGCCCACTTCTGGAAGTTCCCATCTTCTGCAGTTCTGGTCTCCACAAGCCCTGTGTCCTGGGTGTGGTCCTCCCCATCACGCTCCCAGGTCAGGATAATCTCTGAAGGGTAGAAGCCTAGGGCCCAGCACCTCAGGGGGACCTCATGGGATGGCGGGTCCTATATCTTTTGGGGTTTCTGAGGAAGAAGAATCAGAAAATCACACTTTGGGTTACCTTCATGTGACCATCCCGATGATGGAAAAGATAATTGGTTTGGAAGGTAAAAACACAAAACCCAGAGACCAGCCTAGATTCTCTGGGATGTGGAATTATGTTTTAGAATCAGGGAGAGTGCACAGGATAGAAGTGTGCAGGTGTAATGTGGGGAACACTCTAATGGTCTTGTGACTGCAGTGGAGGGTCAGTAGCTCAGAAAACAGAGTCACATCTCCAAAGATGTTCTCAGATGGAGAATAAGGCCTTGACAGAAAAAGTCATGGTTCACAAGGTGGCTGCCCGGGTCAAAGGGAACTGCTGATGGGTTATTTAAGGGATGGTCTCAGCCTACATCCCAGAGGGAGACTGGATCCTTCACTGTCCTTTAGAGAGAAGCACCCTCTAGGTGAGTCACTCTCTATTAGGAATATAAACACCGAAGCAGATCTCCCTCTTCCCATCCGTGGGAGGGGCACTATTCTGACACTGAGTCTATTTTCCCTGTGGAAAGCCAGCCCCAGTCGGGGGGAGATCGGGTAGGCCTCGCGGTCCCTGTATCTGCTCGCAGCAACGTTTCTTTCCAGTTCTCCAGGTGCCTGAGGAGCCACTCCAAGCAAGTGCCTTCCAGGTAATTCCTGAAGCGCTCCGCCTCAC